CCCTCGTCGAGTTCTCCCCCCCCAACCCCTCCCTCCAACCCGCCCTCTCAGATTAACAACCCTATCCCTACCCCCATCACACACGGAAGCAGAGGGGACATTCACTGCTCACCTGGAGAGACTTGCCAGTGGCTCCCACACTCGCGATGGCCGAGAAGGGGAGGCGGGGGCAGGGTTGCGTCCCACTGGCCAGCTAAGAGCCGTGGCTGATAGAAAGAGGGGTGTCTCCGAGAGAGACCCTCCTTCGGGCCCGCCCCCTACCCCACTGCGAGGGTGCCCGGGAGGAGCGGTGCGCGCTGCCTGGACCAGCTCGGGCTGCAGTGTGAATGGAGCGGCGAAGACTCCTGGCTCCTCCTCCCACGCCTCCGGCCCCTCTTATTTGAGCTTTGGGAAGCGGGGGCATCCAGGCAGCTGGGGTAGGGAGTTCAAGGCAGCGCCCATACCCGGGGGTTCTCCGCAACCCGACCGCCCGTCCGCTCCCCCCTTTCCCGCCCGCCCTCCCACTCATTCACCCAGCCAGCCACCCACCCAGAGCTGGGACTGCAGCCGGGGCCCCGCCGCCTCCTCGCCGCGATCCTGGACTTCCTCCTGCCGCAGAAGCCGGCGTCCACGTGTGCTCCGGAGCCGGCATCTTCGCACACAGCCCGCTCCGGGCCTGGGTGTTTTCAGCAGCCCGAGCAGCTGGGGATCCGGGGCCCGGGTGGCAGCTGGACCAAGTGAGGCGCGGCGGAGTCGAGCAGCGAGCGTCTGTAAGACCGGAGGAGCCGCGAGGCGTCCGGGACTCAGTTGCAGCAAATGGGCTCCGACGTGCGGGACCTGAACGCGCTGCTGCCGGCGGTACCCTCGTTGGGTGGCGGCGGCGGCTGCGCCCTGCCTGTGAGCGGCGCTACGCAGTGGGCACCCGTGCTGGACTTTGCGCCCCCGGGAGCCTCGGCTTACGGTTCGTTGGCCGGTCCTGCGCCGCCGCCGGCTCCACCGCCACCCCCGCCGCCGCCGCCGCCTCATTCCTTCATCAAACAAGAGCCGAGCTGGGGTGGCGCGGAGCCGCACGAGGAGCAGTGCTTGAGCGCCTTCACCGTCCACTTCTCCGGCCAGTTCACGGGCACAGCTGGAGCCTGTCGCTACGGACCCTTCGGTCCTCCTCCGCCCAGCCAGACATCCTCGGGCCAGGCCAGGATGTTCCCAAATGCGCCCTACCTGCCCAGCTGCCTCGAGAGCCAGCCAGCTATTCGCAACCAGGGTAAGTGAGCCGGGGAGCGCCCCCTACATGCGGGGCGGTGGCGACGGGGCTGTCTCCGCGCGCGGCACTCCCCTGTCCAACCTCTTTCCTAACCCCAGTTCTTACCCGGCTGCCTCCCCAAGGACTGTGAGGGTAGCGGAAGCAGCAGCTGGGGGAGAGGAGGCCGGGGAGAGGGAGTACATGCTGGCATAAGCTCCTGACATCCTGGGGAATCGAACTGTTCGCTTGAGCCGGGAGGTCATCTGGGGTCCCTCCGACCCCCAACGATTCCGGGACTGCTAGTCCCAACGAGAGTGGGAAGGGGAACTGGCGCATTTTCTAGCTCTGCCTCGGAAGGAGTTTTGTCGCTCAAGACAACACCAAACTGTCACCAAGCATTGAACTTTTTATTTTAGACATTTAGACTGGATTTTGAGTGAGACCAGCGCAGGGTGAGTAGCCTGTGCAGCCTCCCCCGCGCCCAAATGTCCAGGAGTGGCCCTCACCCTTAACACGGTGTTGGTACGCATTAGATGCACGATGGGTATCATGGAGCACTAGAATGAGTAAATGAACAGGCTAGCAACTAATCAGTGGCTTTCCTGGAACCACGTAGTGTCCACGTATGACTCCCGCGTATGGTAGTATGGAAGCCGTTCTCTTTTTGGTTCCAGGTCAAGAGGTGGATACGCAGGCTCCAGGGCTGGAAGAGAACCCTGTTTGTCCTATTCCAAGCTGTGCGGGACCGGGTCCTATAGGCAATGAAATGAGGCCCGAGCGTCAGGGACCTCTTCATCGTTGAAGCCAGGGCTCAGCTGGGGAAAGATTTTTGCAAGACTTGGGGATTAGAACAAGGACAGGTTTATTTGCCATTTTCAGTCTTTGTACACGGAGGGACACAGCCGGCAGTTTTCTCATCCTGCGCCGACTGACGCTCGCACACCTCTTTATCAGGGACCAGCGCAGAACCAACCAGGCTGAGCTCTTGTAGTTTGATTTCTGAAATTATTCTAATTAGACTTTTGCACTGTTGAGAACCTAAACCAATTCGAATTGATTCGCTATTTTAGGAAATGCTTCACAAACGCAGTGGCGGATGCTTTTTCTGGAGCAAAACTTTGCGCGGGCCTAGCGACGGGGATGTTTTTGAAATGCGTGGGATGGGAGAAGCAGAGTGTGTACACTTTGCAAGGGATGCCAGGGCTCCCATGGCGCCGAAGAAGGGCTCTGTTTTTCCCGCGGTCGCCGTTCACTTTCTGAACGCGTATCTTCAAGCGGTCTGCCCCTACCTTAGGCCAGCCAGGAGCTCCTGGCCCATCAGAAGCCCTGGCAAAAGCGAAACTGCCCTCCTCTCTTCGACAGGGGAATCTGGGATCCGTGTCCCGTGGAGGAATCTTAAGCTGACCCACGGGGTCCCTCCACTGTAAATTTAATTCGTGTTTCAGACTCAAGGGGTGTTGTAACAGCTCAGTGTCCATCGTGAGGCTTGTGTTCACTGATTGTGCCACCTCTGAATTAGCAGGTGGGTGTTAACCTTTGGCAAATCTCCAGGTCTCGGTTTCTCCATCTAAGAGTGGAGCTGAAATGGGCAACTTGGAGATTGGATCTGGCCTGAAGTTCTATGCCACGATACAAAAGTCTAGACTTTCCCTTTGATTCGGGTTCTAAATACAAAAGGCAGAGCAGCCCACCTAAACCTAACTAAGCGGTCTGGCCAAGAATGGCAGGCAGGTGTGTGCTGTGAGTCTCTGTGAGGATGTGTGCTATATGGAGAGCTCTGAGAAGCCATTTGATTGAAGTTCTCCCACCACAAAATACAACCGTGCCATTATTTATTTGAGTCTATCAAGGTACTCTGAGGATTTTGGAACCTGAGCTCTGTCACTTTTGGGGGGCCCCTGTATCTGACCTTCTATAGGAAGGTCTGTCACCCCAGATCCCATTAACCCAGCTTGGAGTGGAGAAGCCGACTGTGGATTTTCCAGTCAAAGGATGCTACACTTAAGGGGAAAATCTCAATTTCTCTCTTGCAGATAGGCCTTACAGCCAAAGAGAGAAAGGTTTGGGAGCTGGGGACCAGGACTAGCAGGTGAAAGAGTTGCTTCCTTCCCACCCCGAGGAAAAGCCCAGTGAAGGGCTGGTCTCAGACATGCCACTGCCTGTAAGCCGGGTTCTTTTTGCAGGTTTAGGGTTCTCTTGCTATGAAAATGTAAATGGGTGATCAGCCCAGCCCTTGGGGCTCACTCAGCACCTGGGAGCTGGAGTGGGATATCAGAAGGTGCCACAAATTGAAAGACCTCTCGTACATCTAATCCCTTAGAACCTAGATTTCCTCTATCCTGGTGTTGGCAACTAGGGTGGGCCCTGCGGCCTGGAGATTCTGGATTTATTCTCGTGATTTCCGGAGCTTTTGCAGGAACGCAGGGCCTGGTTGGAGCCTTGGGCTGGGGAAGCAAGGGCATCATCATCTTCTCCCGAAAGTGTGGGAATAGTACCCTCTTACCTCAGGCATCAAATCTTGTTTGTTTTTTTCCTCCTATTTCTTAGATACATTTTTCCCCCCTATTTCTTAAAGACATTTATAGCTGGTGTCTTAATCTTATTTCTAAGCATTAATCGAGCAAACAGTTTTTGAGCCCCTATTCTGTGCCAGGCACTGGGGATTGAATATTAAGACAATGTGCCTCAACCTTTGCAAGAAGCTCACAGACTGACATTGGAGAAGACCCTTATTTTTGGATAAGGAAATCTAGGTTCTAAGAGATTAGATGAGCAAGAGGTCTCTCAGTTTGTGGCAGAGCTGAGACTCAAACCCAGACCATTATTGACTATTTCAACCTTTTCCAGGGATCTTGGCCCACTGTTGAGATGGATTTCCTCTGCCTGGCTGGATGGGCACTGAACTCACTGCCGTTGGTGTGGGAGGGTTGGGAGTTTGTCAAGGCAGAAGTAGGGCCAGGACTTAGGTAGCCCCAGATTAAGTTCTGGGGGATTTGGGAGTGACAAAAGGAAAAGATTGTTAGGCTAATTCACACAGGCCCTGCCGGCATGCAGAACTCTAGCTCAGGAAGCTGCCTTGGCATCACGCGTTACCCTAGGGTCATATGGGGAACCAGCTTGGCCCGAAGGCCAAGGGCGCCTCCCTTGGGTCGCAAAGGAGAGGGTATTTCGTTGCCGGACAGATTTCCCCGTATTCTGCTGCAGCTGAGGCGTCATCAATATCAGCCTTCTGACCCAACCACCTTCCTGACTGAGCCTGCTGTCCACTGCAACCCTCAGCTATGCGAGGCCTGGCCCCAGACGGTTCCTGGGCTCCTCGGCTGTCCCGGGCGGGGGAGGGAGGCGCAGAGCGAGTCTTGCCGCTCCGCGCGGTCAAGGTTGCACTCCCTTCCCGGCCGAGACTAACCGTGGGAAAGGCTCTACCTTGGACGCTGGAGCCTCTTTCTTTAAGGCCTGTGCAAGGACCCTTTGAACACGCTGCCCCTTTCTGCCGGCAGCTGTCTCTCTCCCGCCCTCCGCCCCCGCGCTCTCCACGCCAGGCCCAGCGCAAAGCCTTGGGACAGTGAGCTCTAATCAGTCCCGCGTCCGATAAGCTTCTAATTAAAAGAGCCCTCCCTACTCGCTGCCGAAGCTTTCATCACTGCCCCTCCCGGAGGACCGGGAAGCCGGCCCCAGCCCACCGGTGTTTGCGTTTCCTGTCGGGGAAGGGGTTTTGGGAGCTCTCGCTGGGCGTGGAGGCGACGCTGCAGCCCGCAACCCGTGACCCTGGCCGCGCCTCAGAAGACAGCACCGTGCTCTGGGCCCCTGCCTACTCATCGGCTCAGGAATGGAGAAGGGTTCGTCTAGAGGCAATTTCTTTGTCGCTTCTGTTTCTCCTCTTTGTTTTAAAAGAAATATCCTTTCAAAATTCGGCCTTCCTTCTGCAAAATTAGGTGCCCGGAGCCAAATTTCGTTTGTAAGCTGATCGGTAGGCCTCGAACAGGGCCTGGCCTCCCTCCGAAAAAGGAAGTGCCTGGAAGCCCAAGCGTGCTCACCCACGCCTGACAGCTAACCCGGGCGCGGGTTATCTTTGCCCACTTAGCAGGCTAGAAATGGAGGCCAGTGAGGTCATGAAAATTATAAAAGCTGGTGGCTTCTTAAATTGTCAATCTGTGGTGCCAATCTGTGCATGAGACTTGGCCTGCCCTGTACAATCTGTTCATTAAGACCTGCCCCAACGTTCACTCCCACTCTGACACACCACATTCCCAGGAATGGGCTGTGAAGCTCCGTTTCTGTTTTGGGGGTTGTTTCGAAGATGGGGGTAACTGGCCTCCATTCTCTGTCCAGCCTAAGTCTTCTGAGACGCTGTTGCAGAGGGATCATGCCTGAGGCAATAATGGTGGTGGTGGTGGGATGGAGACCTTTTGACTCACCCCATTCCCAAGAATCCAGTGGGGCTTGGAGACCCAGCGCAGTAGCTGGGTGTGCGATTGGCACGCAGAGGAACTGGAACCGGCCGGGTGGTCCTGCAGGGAGCCGATGTGAGTGTCTGGGCCAATCTCTTCCCCGTTTGGCCTGGACCTCAGGCCAGAGACTCTGGAGATAGAAGGAGGGGATCCTACCATTGGGTTCAGGGCTCCAGGACAGATATTTATCTTAGCAGAAGGATCTTTTCCCATAGGCAGCAACAGTTTTCCAGAAGCTGGTGGGGCGTATGTTTAAAACAAATAGTAATTACAGAAGGACACTAATTGTTCAACCAAGACAGCATTTTTTTTTTTTTTCACCTTGGGAGAGTTGGGGAAGAACAGAGGTGGTATTGCCTTTGGTTTCTTGGCAGAGAAGCTGAGGCAGAGGACCTGTGCATTGCCATGGAGACTGAGGTACAGTGTCAGGCACACTCTAAAAGAAACAGGCTTCCCGTCCTGGGGCACAGGGAAGTCAGCCCTGGCAGTGGTGGTCAGCGCGGACCTGCTGGGCCCCAGGTGGGTGGTAGAGGGGAAGGAGGAGGACGCAGAGTCTTGGTCTGTGGGTCCAACTAGAAGGGCCCCTTGTTTTTCCCCTCACCAACTTTTCATGGTGTTGGGTCGCTCAGCCTCAGGCAGATAACATTACTCAGTAATTACTCTCCCCATTTAAAGCTCATGCCGTTTAACTGGCTCCGAGTAATTAATGAAAGTTGGTGCGCGGGCCCCTGATTTACGGCTCCGAGTCAGCGCGGGGTCAGCTGAGCGGATTCATTTCTCTCGCCTGTGCTGCCCCCTGTGAGAGCAGTGGTGTTTGGCTTTTGAGCGGGGAACAACTTTCTACACCGAGCGGTTGGCGGTTTTCACACTTACGGGAGGTTCAGTACAGAAGCGTCAGACTCAGTGCAAGGCAAGGGCGTAAATAAATTGGCAACCGACAAGGAGGTCAGGGCTTTACTTGGGACAAGGCGGGGAATCGTCCCAAGGTCATACACTTCGGGGGCTTCGGTCCAGCTTCTCGCTGAAAGTCCTGGGGCGGAGATCCTAATGGAGGGCGCGGCGCTCCTGTGCGCGGGTTCTGGTTCGGACCCACAGTCCCTGTCTCCCTGCTGACGCTGTGCTTCTCTCCGCCGCGCCCACAGGATACAGCACAGTCACCTTCGACGGGACTCCCAGCTACGGCCACACGCCCTCGCACCACGCCGCGCAGTTTCCTAACCACTCCTTCAAGCACGAGGACCCCATGGGCCAGCAGGGCTCGCTGGGTAAGCAGGCGGGAATGATGTGGGGTCCTTCTTTTCTTTCATGCGACCTCCCCCACCCAATTTCCAACCTACAGCAAATTGGGGAAGGGAGAAGAGAACATCCAAAGGGGTTTTGAGAAATAATAAGCCCGATTTTACCCAGTTTAAAAGAAGAGCCCCTCCCCACCCCAAGTATGTTAGTGACAGCTCTTGCTCAACCAAATCTACGAAAGTCCGAAGGGTCTTTCAGGTGTACTTAGCCAGAGACTGCTAAGGGAATGTAAAGTGAGCAGCTTAGCTCTTTACCATCTGGACACCCTCTCTCTGCGCGCCCAGCATCCAGGCCCCATCGTCCCCAGCTTAGCCTCCGAGCCCAGCTCAGGATGCTCTGTGACCCCCACCCCCAGCCCTTGAGGCGCGCTCACTCCGCTCTCTCCCCGGCTCCCTGCAGGCGAGCAGCAGTACTCCGTGCCGCCCCCAGTCTACGGCTGCCACACCCCCACCGACAGCTGCACGGGCAGCCAGGCCCTGCTGCTGAGGACGCCCTACAGCAGGTAGGAAGACGCTTGACCCTGCAGGGGCCGCGCATCGGCGGGCGTGCGAACGTCCGACGCGGGGCAGCCTGGACTCGGGGCGTGCAGGGTTGGGGAGGCAAAGGATGCCTTTAGCCCACTCGGTTACTTAGAGCAAATTGAAGCTGATCTCGAGGCTCTAATTTGAAAGAAGTAGATTTCTTCGTCTCCGTGTTCTTATTCTGAATATAAACGAGAGTTATTACTATTTAGAGCTGAAGAAGAAAGCAGCGCTTTGAGAAGTGATTTTTTAAAGGGCTCTTTGTTGGGAGGGAGGGGCGGGGGCAACTTCAGCATCCTCAGGACCAAAGATTAAACACTCCCACGCTGTTCTCTCACCCTTCAAACCCCTCCTCGCCTACTTGTCACCCTGCCAGACTTCTCTGGGACTACTTCGAGAGTGCGTACCCTCGGGCAACGGGCTTCTCCCCACCTCTGTCCTCCAAGCCCATGGTACGGCAGCGCTTTGTAGGAGTCGTTCGCAGCGCGGAACTACGTGCCTACAGCGGGACCCCGGACTGTGTGCGGGACTGTAGTGGGTCACAGAAGTGTCCTGAGCTCGCCCTTTTTCCTGTTCCCAGGAGGCGGAAGACAGCTTCTTTTTCTTAGAAGGTTTTTTCCTGACCTCTGTGCCTTCTCTCGGCTCTCACTCCACCTTCCACCTACTCTCCCCCAAATTTATTCTTCAACTTTGGGTGAACTTGGCCGGCATCCCGCGTCTCTGATAGGGTTGCCTAGTAACTGGTGCACACGCCCGCCCGCGCCAGGCAGAGAGGTGCGGCGGGGGTAGGGAAGTGGCTGCTCGCGGCTTTAGAGGCCGGGGATTGGGCGCGCATTACCTCATATCCCACCCCTACCCCCACCCCGATGCTTAAGGGAGCCTGATACTGACTGCCCCCAAACTCATCTCCATCCTCCCTCCCCTCCGCTTCAGGAGCCGGGGTTGACGTCAAGGGAAGGAGGTAGTGAGGTAATGAAGGAAGGAAAAGCTCCAGCCCTGGGAGATTGGGTGGGGGTAATGGCCACGCCTGGGGAGCCTCCAGCCCCACAGGTGGAGGAGGGGAAGGAGTCTTCACTCTCGAGCTCACGGTGGCGCATCCCAAAGTCCAGACGTGCTTATGAAATTGAGCTTGGGACTGGTCTGATTCTCCTGTCCTGTGGAGGTCCAGGGCCGAGCCCCTTCTACTGCATCTGAGGCGCCCTGACTTTGGAAACCTTTCCTATTCATCGGAAAATACGGCATATCTAATCAGGTCTTAGATTCGAGGTCACTCCCCCACCCCACCCCCCCTTTCTTTGCCTTTTCTTTCTTTTGTTCCTTCTTTCTTTCGAGAGGGGGCAAAGAAATACACGCAGGTTGCAGAGTTAGAGGTAGAATGGTCACATCTCATCACCCTCCCTTTCTCTCTCACTAGCTCCGGCCTAGTCCTGTTCTCTGACACGGCGGGCCCAGTGCTCTGCCCCAAGCCGGCCATCTCTGTGTCTCCCCTTGGCCAGGTCACTGGAATGAATCCAGAATCCCCAACCATTTTCTGTTGTGATTCTCTTCCCCTAGCAAAACTGGGTGGAGAGGCCATTGCCATCCTTCCTGAGGAGCTGTTCCTGTCCATTGCCAAAGTGGCATTGCTGTTACTTTAGTAGAAACTGGGGGTACAGTTGAAATGGTTCCCCATGGGATGACCTTGGCCCACTCCTCCCTCCTTGGCCCTTGTTTAGTGCCTCAACCTAGGTTGAGAGGAAGACCTTGATGCCCAAGTGAGTGCTGTTTCGATGAGCAGGATCCCTCTTGCCGGTTGGGAACCGAGAGGCCACTGGAGCCTGGTTCAGTAGTGACACACAGCTACACACATTTCCTACTCTCCCTTCTCCTAAGCATAGAGTCCATCAGAGGGACTGAGCTGCTTAGAAAGGAGTCAGGGATAAGGTGATATGACCACTTTTAATAGCAGTTCTCCAAATTGAGTCCCTGTGGTGGATTTTGACTTAGGGCTGTGACACTCATATTGCATTGTATACATAAAATTTTCACATTTAAGTGGTCACTGTATAGAGCTATTTTCTCAGGCTCATCTAATTGGTCACTGTATAAAGATATTTTGTCAGGTTCCTCTTTTGGAAATACGTGCTTATCCCTTTTTACTTTCTACATAATTAGAACTCCCTCCTCATTTTTATATGAATATCATAAAAATACCATTTTCTCCTGTTATGGAAAATTTCCTAAGGAGTAACATCTAAAAAAGAATTTGTGACCCCGGTAGGAAGAAAGTGTGCTCCCTTGAAGTTTGTACTGTCTTTGAAGCTCCACCCACCCTAAAGTCACAACATTTGTAATCACTTTTCAAAGGTCAGGTATTTCCTCTGCAGTAATGCTGAGTGGACAGGTGTAGGGATATTTTAAAATTGGTTCTGTGCATTAACATTACAGCAGTTATGTCATTTCCTTCTTTCCTACTCCTAAAAAAGTTTGAAAGTGTATCTAAATGCTTCTGGAAGTGATAGGAGATGGTTTCCCCCTCCCTCCTGCCCCCCAAATATTGAACGTGGGTAGAGTTTTGTCTAAAGGTCGCTAAGGCTTGTGAAACTAGATTTCAGCCCTAACGGAATCCAGTGATCATAGCTGGGTGAAAGCATAAGCCTCTATAACTTAATAACCAGGAATTATTGCATGCTGACCATGTGCTCCCAGGCACCGTGCTAAGTGCATCACTCAGTGCACTCATTTAATTCTTCTGATTGTCTATGAGGTAGGCACTCTAATTTCTATTCAGCCAAAGAGGACATAGATTTAGAGACTCAAAGTAACTTGCCCAAGGTCACACAGAGAGTGAGAATCAGAAGCAGGATTTGATCCTTAGTCTCTGTGACCTCAAAGCCCATCTGTGCTCTGAATTGCTGAGGGATTCCCCCACCTGGAATATTTCCTTTGTATGGTCCATGCCAGCATTTTTTTGCTAATAAATAATAAGAGCAAATGCTTATAAAGTCTTACTGCGACCAGGCACCATTCTAAGCACTTTATAAGTATAGACTTATTTAAGCCACATAACAATTCTTTGAGGTTGGCAATAGGTTATCACCTATCCTCCACTTCACAGAGGAGGAAACTGAGGCCCTGGGAGGTGACTTTGCCTGGTGTGACACAGGAAGGGACAGAGCTGGAGTTCAGAGTCAGGTAGTGAGGCTCTGGAATCCATCTTCCTACTCACTGCACCCGCCCTGCTGCTTCTCTTGATGCATGAGTGCCATTCTCTTTCCAAATGTGGCATCTACCCTAGGTTTATTTCCTACAATTGTGAAATAAACCCATTATTCATCAGTTTTATCCATAGCTTTCAATATAAGCGCTTAGTGAATGGGGGCAGTATTTCTCCTGGTGAGTACTGTTAGAGCCAACTTGAGCTTTCTCCTGAAGTCCTAACTCACAAAGCAGCTTTGTCTTTTCCAACTGCAGACTCCTCTAGCTTTGCCTTTGCCACTGGGGGTGAGCTATTGGGGTGAAGTTCAGTCGAGGCACCTAAAGAAACCCAGGGCAAAGACCTTTCTCTTTGTCCATCCAGAGGGGAGGAATGACTGCTTCCAGGGCCACTATGGTTTTTGCTGACTCAGATGTGATAGATGCCCCAGAGAAACTTGGACCCCATGTTCTCCTCAGGGGAGAAAGTAGTGAAGTCCACCCTCACTAAGCATAATCTCCCCACCCCCATTTCCACCTAGAACAGGCAGCTAGGTGGGCCTTCCCTGCTCACTTTCCTTCAGTCCTTTCCACAAGCCCCCGCCTCCTCTGATTACTGGCCGCCTCTGATTGTTGACCTTCTTGGAGCCCTCAGTCCTTGGCTGTGCCCATCGCACAGCTTGACTCTCACAGGTACTTTGAAAAGAAATTCTGTGTGCCGTGTTTGAAAAACATTCCCATGTACATTATTATTTTTAGACATTCTAGTTATTCTTGTTGTTTCCCTTTCTTTTTATTCTTTTATATGGTTTGCATATCCTTCTTTAGCAATTGAACTACCAACATAAAGGAGAATGTTTCCATTTTGCCTCTTAGCAATTCGGGAAGCAATAATTGCTGATTGGAATATTTTTAATTGAATGTTGACGGTTCACAAATGGTGAAATTGACAATGGAGCCTGTTACCTGTAGACTGTCTTTCATGTGAGAGAAACTTCCTTTGCGGCCATAGAGTTTCTGGGGGATCCAGATCAGTGGGAAGTTCGCAATCCACCCTTTGAGTTCGCCGGTGACATTGACACACATCAGAAGACAGCTTGTGCCCAAGGAAGTAAAATCATAATGAATGATGCCTCTCTTCACTTGTGTATCTAAGTACACTTCATACTGTGTGCAAATTTCACGTAAGACAATACTGGTTTATGTTTCCCGCATAGGTAGGCTCAAAGACGAAAGGTCTGGAATGGTTTCCAGGGTGGTGGGCGGTATAATCAAAGCCAAAGGCTTGCTTTGGACTTGTCTCCAGGGAGGGGGAAAATCTAGTTTCAAATATTCCTGCAACTTTTGTGCTGAGCAAGTGTTTATTAATAGAAGTTGAATCCCCAGTGGGTTTTTCTTTGGTTAATTGGTGAGCTTGAGAGAAATTACAATACCAAGAGACTGACTGTAAAAGAATTATTCACCATGGCCTGCTGGGCAGAAATTTCTCAACAGGCAGCCTCCACGGCGCCTTGGAGGGAAGAAGGCAGGAAAAGGGCTGCACGGAAGTCTGGCTGCAGCCTCTGTACGTGAGCCTCAGTTATCAGGTAGAGGTAAACCCACAGAGGCCTCTCTTGCCACGGGGCAGAGCTATTACAGCTAATGCTGGACACATCATGAATTCTGATCACGGTTGCCACTTATTTCCACCTTTTCCTTGTTGGCTTTTTTTTGTTGTTGTTGCTGTTTTTAAATCATCCCATGGGGAAACTCTTTTCTTCCACCAAGATGTTACTTTGCCAGCAGGCAACTATCTGGCAGGGGTAACTCCAGTCTCAACCAGGTTCGATGGTTTCATTCCAGTGATGACATGAACCTTCTACCTTGTTCTGCTGAATATAGTAAACACACTTAAAGATGAAAATGTACTTGAATTACACATGCATTTGGAGAGTGGAGGAGTTCTAGTCCAGATAATAGCCGAGAGCTTTCTTCTTCCTTTCTTTCTGTGCGGAGGTCGAGAACTCAGTAATACTGCAGTCCAGGCCAAAACAAACTCTATATGATCTACTACTGACTTCCTTTTAAGTTCCCCTTTTTGCTACGACTAACTTCCTTTTATTTTACTCCAACTTGCATTAATCCCAGTTATGGAAGTTTCTTTCCTCTCTCTCTCGCCCCCAACTTCAAAGATTTCTGATATAGGAAACAAGTGACTTTTTCTTTTTAAAGACCTACTTAAAAAATTTAAAGGACACTGTGACTTTCAGAATATATTTTGGCAACCTGCAATTTCAGAGTTCGCTTCCGAACAGACAGAGTTAGACGGGAAGCTGAAATGCCTACGTGACCACTGTGGTCGCTCTGAGCCAAACCACCTGCTTATCTGATCTCCTCTGGGAATGAGATGGTTGACACCTACAGTGGTTATTTAATAATTGGATGCTTTATTTGTCAGAGGCCATATATTCTTTGACTGGTGCTGCCTATTTCCGTGGGCTTTCATGATGAGAGCTGGGTGTTGACCGATTGCCCAAAGAGATCAGAGCCTGAGCATGCTCGGGCCCAGTATTTTTAGCTCGAGGTCACATTTTGTCTTTTCCCCAGCAGCAGTTACTGTCGTTGCTGTCATTAACTTCCAGTTGAAAGGTTGTGCCAGCCAAGCTGATTGACTGAGCCACCGAGGAGCCCCAGCCAACAGAAGGCAGGATGTGGTTAAAATTGTGCTCTGTTCCTGAAGCCCCAGGAAACCTATTAGTAGCTTGGGGATGTTCTGAAGGTCCTTCTCCCCCATCAGCCCTTTCCATCTTCTCTCCCCTTCTAAGGATTTACAAGCTGGTCTATCAGGACTACTAAAATCAAGAAGTGGGGTTCGTACTGGATCTTGGCATGCTCTCTTTAGTTAGCTGAAGAGAATGTGTTGGGCATCTTGCATCTTGTAACTTTCTGGAGACAGTAGGTTATGATGTGCCTTGAGTATGTTCTCTTTCCCCTCCAGACTCTTGTCTGTGTCATAATGTTATTGTTACTATTATTTAAATGGTAGTGAGAGGGTGAGGCTCAGAGGCCAGTGATGCCTAAAACCTTCAAAGGGGCAGGGCGGGATGATTGTGGGGACATCAGAGAAGCCAGCACAAGGCATCTCTCTGAGCCCAGGTTCTCCTCTGATAAATGGGGATCATAATTATCCCTGCCTTACAGAGTTGTAAAAAATATTGGAGGTGTGTGAAAGTACTGTGCAGAATTTGATAAATTAGAAAAAAATTTAAAGATTTTATCTGTATAGTCCTCAGAGAGTCATCATTAAAGCTTTATGACATCCCTGTAATGTTAGACTGATTGAGATTAATATTCCCATTTGACAGATGAGAAAACTGAGGTGTGGAGAGCTGAATTAATTTGCTCAAGGTCCTAAAGCTTAGAGAGTAGCACTGTCCAATAGAAACATAACGCAAGGCATATATATAATTTGAAATTTGCTAGTAGCCACATAAAAAAAGAAACAATGAAGTCGATTTTGAAACATTCTATTTAGCTGAATATAGTCAAAACCTTATTTCAACATGTGGCATTAGCTATATTTCAAGTGCTCAATAGCTCTATGTGACTAGTGGCTACTACATCAGACAGTACAGTATAGAGTATTTATTAAGCACCTACTAGGAAGATGCACGTATGTAAGACATAGACCTTGTATTAGAGAAAGTGTGCTTTTGGCAGGGGGCAAGAAAATATCTCTAAAAGTGTCTTCTCTTTGGGGTACTTCCTTATAGAGATCCTTAGGAATCTATTGGACTATTCTTTAAATCTATGAGAAAATTTCTAAATCATAAAGTCAGGTCTTTGAGACTTACTAACTCATATGTGTAAATTTCTGTCACTCATCTTGTTTCTCATCCCTCTTGAAAATTAGGACTTTCCTAGTCTTAGGCATGGATGAAATAATTTCAGAAAGACCCCACATCCCAATAGGGCCTAGGAAAATTGTCAAGTGGGGCTGAGTGATTTTAGCTGGTGAACAGTTTTTAAAAAATTAGTGACAAAAACATAGAGCTGCCTGGGGAATACAATGCCTGTTGGATGAGATTAATGGCAAGATTAATAAATGGATTGCTTGATGAAAAGTGCAGGAGAACAAAAACCAGTAGAGATTGTGGAGGAGGCCACTTATTAATGAACCGTCAGCTCAAAGAAAGTTCAAGAAACTCTCCTGTGTTAAATGCAGCAGGCTGGCACGTCTAATAAAAATTGGGGTCCTTCAGGAATTAATTACACTGGCCTTACAGCAAGAATTCATGGAATTGAGAAACATAGTGGCACAGACCAGCACCAGCCGCTGCTGTAAATGGGGAAGCTGCAGGAGAAACTAATCATTTTTTTTTTCATTGATATGTAGGATATTGTAGTAGCATAATAGTCAGTCAGACATGGGGATGAATGATGGGGTCCAGATATACACTGACTAATGAAACTACACATACTTTGAGATTGAAGTCACTTCACATTTCACATGTAAAATTCCCTTCTGGCATCTGATTTCCTCCTTATCCTGTGTACCCGCCACTAAAGAGTTCCAAATAATTTTCAGTGATTATATGAGAGGCAGATGGACTCTACCATGATTTATCAAGCTTTGCCGAGAGAGAGCACGGTATTCATTTATTCCTTGTTGCTGTAATTTCCCAGTTTGGTTGGCTTGATAAAACCTTCTCTTAATTAAACTCTGGTGTTGCCTCTGCCCAGTGGATGAAGCAACCCAAAGGAATGCCATGACAAGATGGAGATTGTCCAGAATTTGCAATCTGATATCACACATTAGATATTAAAAGCTTCTTACCTTTTTTCACTTCTGTCATGAAGGTGGAGTGAAAATGTTCTTCTGTAATGTGTTTAGACCAAGGGTTCCCAGACAAACCATTAATCTCTTGGGTTTCAGATTTCATAATTAACCATTTTACTTCAGGACTAAATTTATTCTTAATAGAGCTTGGTAATTTAGGAGATGCCTGGTGATTCATTTACGTGTTAGTTTTCTAGGAATGAGATAATTAGTAAATAAAAATGAAGACACATGTAATAAAGATGTTTATAAGACTTGTGCATGCAAAAAAAGGACGGGGAGGGGGAACAATTTTGGTTGGTTTACATAATAGTGCATTTCTCCTTTGAGGTCTTAATATAAATGATCAGCCATTGTTTTCCCTCAGAACTGGGCTGAGGGCTTTTTTTCAAAAAAGCTCCATTTGACTTATGCCAGAATTATAAAATTTATGGAGAATGATTCCTTTAGTGTTACATAGAGTTTTTCATCCTCTCTCTCTCTCTCTCTCTTTTTTTTTTCGTTTGTCACATCCTTGCGTATTAGACCGTCTATCACCCGTCACTCTTTGACTTTTCGGGCCCACATAATCCACATGATACTTATCCTTTTGATTAAAACAACTTAATGGCCTTTTCACGAATAATTAATCTGCTGTCTTTTTACTTTCAGCTCCAGGCTTTTAACTTTAATGTTGAGTTATCCAGCCTGTGTTGCCTTCCAAAGTTTCACTCCCTTTAGCCTCTTCCCTTCAAAGGTTTAATACCTCTTTAGAAACTTTAATGTTTGCTATACTAAGGTTTTTTAAAGGCTTCCAAATTACTCTCACATTTTTTCTTCTGTGTGTGAAGTGAATAACTGTGCAGAAATCAGTTTGATGAAATGAAGATTATTTCAGATTCATGTATTCTGTCATTCTGGAAACCATGGAGGCTTTTGCTGTAAAGAAAATTTAAAACTCCACTGCTTTTTGAAGAAACAATTGCACATTTTTTTTCGCAGTTATGCATTTCTAACTGGGTGTTTTTCTAACAGTGACAACTTGTACCAGATGACTTCCCAACTTGAATGCATGACCTGGAATCAGATGAACTTAGGAGCCACATTGAAGGGGTAAGGTCTTCTCTATTCCGTTGCCTTTGGACAGTAACTCACACCTGTTTGAACCATTTTAAAAGTGCTTATAACTTATGAAGAGAGTATAGTTCTAGCAGAATAAACATGGCTTGTTGTAGAATCGAGATGCTTTCCTCCCACCCCCAATTGGTGGGTTGTGTTCAGTATTAAGTTTTCAGGAATATAAATAGAGGATGCTTTTGCCTAGAACAAGGTGGTTGAGAATATCGGAAAAACTTAATATGGCCCTTACTGAATTTTTTAGAGTTCTTCAAAGTCATGTTCATTCACCCTTGTTTAATGTTTGTTTTATTAGTGATATCACAGATGTTAACCATTACTGTATCTCATCGAGAAATGCTTTCGGTTTACAAAGTTCAGGATCCAAATTTGTATTTGAGGGAGAATGATCAGACATCCAAAGTCAGATGTGCTCATACCTGGTTGTGCCAACAGGTTTTCTTTACACTTACTACAGAGCCACATCAGGGAGAACACAGCTATCAAGCATTGGTAGGGACAGTTCTTAGGACTTGAAAATGAAAAAAAGAAAGCAAGCGGGACTTGTTTTCAACAGTAAAAGAACTTGCTTTCAGTTTTCTAGCAAGTCTGAGTTGAAAGGAAGTCAGATATGACGCTCATGAAGCACCTACAACAGATCACGTGATGTTTTAGGTCACCTTGTCTAATCTGCCTAATATTATGAAGCCTAGGTACTGTTACCCTGTTTTCCAAAGAAGTCAATCGAACTCAGAGAGTTAAGTAACTCCTCAAGTTCACATTGTATGAAATGGTAGAACTGGGACTCCAAGCCCAGATCTGATTCCAAAACCCATACTCTCTCCCGCCTCCCTGTGGGGCCTTCCACTCCACCATCAGCTCCAGTGGGATTGGGGCCTTAGTTCAGAACTCTTTATTAGCCAGCTAGCTTCACATCTCTGTGTATTTAGTGGCTTCTCATTGGATTCTGGGATCTGGGGGCTTGCTAGAGCCATGCATGCTCCATTCCCCATTCCCCACCTCTTCTTTTCTTCTAGAGTTGCTGCTGGGAGCTCCAGCTCAGTGAAATGGACAGAAGGGCAGAGCAAGTGAGTGGACAATGCGATGATGGCAAAGCAAATGACGTAGGCCTTGGTGGTGGTGCCTGGGGGCCATGCAGGAGTTAGGACTGACAACGGGTAATTAGGGTAGCCTTTGGTGCACTGGGATGAGGAAAATCTCTCTTCTCCCTCTTTCTGCCTTTTATTATTTATCATAGACATAACTGTGGGCAAAAATGGAGGTGGTGACACTTCCTATCAACATACTCCTGGAAAGCAATTATTAGAGTGACGCAGTAGGAACCCTGCTCATTTCCTCGTGAATGTTTCACAAAATACTAACTTTGTGGCATTACACATGTTCCTGTTAGATCAGCCAGATCTTTCAGTCATACTTACATTTTTCTTTGTATACCTTTAAATCTCTAAGGGAGAAATTAATTTTTACCCCAAATCTATAGTCAGATTTTCTGCAAAGATTTTTTTTTTTAGTTCCCAAACATCTGCGCCTTCCCCGGTTCTGTAGCCTGCATCCTGGGACATTTCTGTAACTACTTCTTTTGATTTCATTTTCTCTTCTTGAACGCCGGAACCAGCCTTTGCTCTTCTCATCCTTCTTTCTTTTGTTGGCTCAGTCCTGTTGTTTGGATCATCCTTCAGTAATCAGCAGAGTTGCTTTTCATCTTTTAAGACAAACTGTTAGATCCTTCTCTCTATCTCCATCCCCCAATTTTTCTATTTTACCCAAATCGCCATTTCTTCTCTCTAAACCCTCAAATAAGAAGCTTTCTGTTGATTTGAATTTTTTCTCTCCCCACTTGCATCCAAGGGGATGTCGACGATTTCAGCATTCTGTCTTTCTACCTACTCTCAACTTGTATTTCTTGGCTTCTTGGTTTCATTCTTTCTTTCCGATTCTCTTCCTTTTTCTTCTCTCTCGTCTACTCAGAATTCAGTAACGGTCCCCAAACTAACTGCCAATAGAAAGAATATGATTGTGAAGTGAATATGTTTTAGTTTTTAAAATTTCTTCATGTTGGATTCCAGGGCTTGTTTTCTGCTTAATTACAAAAATTACAGATCAGAAATCTTGGCATGTGTTTAACTCAGAATGTTTTTATAGTTGAAAGAATTTTGATAACTTTTAAGGTCTATTAGTCACTTGCTGGAGAGTCAGAAGCTATATTTTAAGGATAAATCACAAAGTGTCGATCATTTTTTTTTTCAATTCTGTGCAAGAAAAAAAATCTAGAAGAGTTTGCATTGTTTTGGTGCTTACATTTTGGAAAAGGATTTCCGAAATCAAAATGTATTTCTTAAATACTAATAACTTCATTCAGAGAGCTGTACAGAAAGGGTCAAACGGCCCCAGTAGATAGTCCTACAGAAGAACAACTCTTCAGAGAGCAAAAAAGTGTGCAATTGTCTAATTCACTAACATCGCTCACACTGCGGGTGATATTATAAGTCGGCTAATGTCTGCTTCCATTTGCAAACTGAACGTTTATCTAAGAATGGATGTTAATATTAATGGGCTCTGTATGAGGGACTTTACACGTTTCCTCTTGATCTCAGCTTTCAGATGAGGAGGCTGGAGAGATTAAGCCACCTAACCAAGTTCACATAGCGAGTAACTGGCAGAGCCACTTTGGAGCCCACTTCTGTCTGACTCCAGGATCTGGCCCTAGATTAGAATTTCTTAAACTTTTTGGACAGTGACCATAGTAGAAATACCTTTTACACTGAGATCCATTACACACACACACACACACACACACACACACCCCACAAATTTTCACAAAACAGTACTTGTTCCATACTGTGCATGCTGATGTTTTCTGCTTCATTCCATACCATTTTAAAAATGCTGGTGGTGATGTGTAAATTGATTTTAAAACTCGCTGATGTGTCATGACCTACAAGTCTGCCTCTCTTTTAGCTCTTCAAAAGAATAATTAATTAACTCTTTCCTCCATGCCCATGAACAGCCAAGAACTGGATTCAGGTGAATCTGTTATTCCAGTAGAAAGTTTGGCTTTTCCCCAAGGGGGACATAATCTGGATAGGTGTCATTATTCTTTATGATACTGAATTTACTTTCTTTTAGCTAGGTATGAAAACACTGTTAATATGAGAAATAACCTGAGAAAAGATATTTCATAAAGAAAGATAGAAAGAAATAACTGTCTTTTGCTTTAATCCATAACTAGTATCTTGACACTATTTGAAATCATTGGTAAGAAAAATCATGGTGACAACATAGATATATAACAGGAAAGCTGGAGGTTTGACTCATGTTTTGGGGAAGAAAGATATAATTTCCATATCACTCATAAAAATGAGGCATTATCAATTTTTTATTAAACGATTATGTACTTCAGACTAACCCCACTAAGTATTTGTTCATGTCTTCCTTCCTTGAAAATGTTACTTTTATAAAAAGCATAGGCTTGTTTCCTCATGTCCTAACAAGTCCACGAAGACATTTCATTAGATGTCGGGGAGCTGTGGTATTCTACTGGGCGACGATGGGGTGTTAGGGAGAGCACAGGCAAGGTGAGATGAAAACATGATGGAGAGCAGAGGACACTTGCCACTGATTCTCTCTTGTCTCCTTCTCTCTTTCCTCATTTTTTAATCTCTGTATGACCATTGGGATCAGAATTACTTTTACGACCTCAAACAATATTGTATTTCAATTTCAGACAAGAAGAAAGTACTTCGTGAAACCATTCTTTTAACTCTGACACTTTACCTTACCCACAAACAAATGAAATTAGATTTTTAAAGTGGGTCACAGAGAAAAAATCGCCAGAGACCCTTTCTAAGCATTAATCCACCTTTATGAATAATTCTGTTTGTTTGTGGTGACTTGCACTGTCTGCTTTTTATTTCTTTTAAAGACATTTTCTCTGTGTTCTTAATGACTGCTGAATTTTTAAGGCTACTCACAAGCCTTGGCTATTCTGTTAGCCTCTGTTTTGTCTCTCCTGAAGAAAATATCCTGCAAAATGGAGAAACACATCAACCTTGACTGTGGTCCAAGTTATTAAAACAAGGAAGAAGTTATTCTCTGGGGACCTGGGTAGGGGGAGTGGGAAATCGAATACAATAGAAATGTTAAAGGAGTGCTGAGCAAAATGAATGTCCCTTTGCTGGTCCAAGAAGTTCACAGGCTGTTGGGAACACACAGTATTTGACCTGTGGATGCTTGAAAGGAAAAACGAAAGACTCGTGATGAGTGATGTATGGTGCAAACAAAGCTGTGCGTTTGGGTAGGGCCAAGGCTGTTGAATCTGGAGAAAATCCCCGCTAGACATGGTCTCATCCCTGAGAACCTGTGCCAAAAGAGATAGCTGTCTTCTCTGGCTGGGAGTTCCAATACACAGCCCAGCACCTTCCCTCTCCAGCTCGTGAACATAAGGTACTTATCCAAGAGATTTACTTCTTGAAAACACATAGCCTGCTTTTAAGTGGCTTCTGGAGCTTGAGACACAAAAACAAAGGTGGAAAGAAACAGCTCTGTGAATACCAGCATTCCAGAGTGTACTCTTTCACCTCCACCCCCTGCAAAAAGTTGTTAGTTTCTCCATTTAGATGGTTACATTGATGCCTTGTAAGCAGTTCTTTGCCTTGCATTGGACTTGGCTTGGGTCTGTTAGCCAACTATACTGCAGAACGGAACATGGAAATCCTGGGTTTGCAGGGTGGAGGTGGAGATTCTGACTTAGAGCTGCGTTCCCTGTCCTCAGAGTGAACTAATTTAGTTGCTTCTTTTGCTTTCACTTCTCACCTCCCGGATGCTATTTTCCCCTCCCTAATTGTTCACCTTTCCCACCCGTTTCCTTATGGACAAATATTCAATTACTGTATTTAATTTTTAATTATGTATGTAACATATATGAATTAAAGAACAGTTAGAAAACACAAATACATAAGGGAGGAAATTAACACTCCCCCCAATATCCCAGTGAAACTACTATTATGTTGCATACACTTTTAGACCTTTTTCTATGTGTATGCATACTTTTGTGTCATTTTCTTTTTTAAATTAAAATTATTGGGATTTTATTGGTTAATAAAATCATATGGATTTCAAGTGTACAGTTCAGTAACATGTCACATGTATACTGTGTTGTGTGTTCACCATCCAAAGTTAAATTTCCTTCTGTCACCATATATTTGACCCTCTGTGCCCCTATGTACCTCTCCCCTCATTTTTTTTTAATAATAAAAGATTGGCTTCTGCTGAGATCTAATTCAGCAAATGCTTATCAATAGGCTATTGCAGTATCTTGTGTTTCAACCCTCATGAGAGTGTTGACTTTTAAAAATATTCTCAACCTTTTAAAAAAAACTTCATTTAAAAAATATTTTGGACTTTACAGACTTACCATCTCCACACTATGTTCCTATTTTATTTAAAAGCAAGGAATTATTTTCTTCTCATAAAGGTGAGGGAAAATGACAGGTTTGTTCAGATCAGGAGAAGAAAGGAGCTAAGCAGGAAAGATAGAAAGGGAAGATGGTGATTAAGCGGCCAAGCTAGAAATGAGAAGCATGGTAGACTCGGTGCAGAGAAATGAGCTGGGGTTATGAGGGTTCCCATGGGTTGATTAAGGGTTGTGTGTGCGTATGTGTGTGTCTGTGTGTATTGGAGGAGGAGAGGGTATAGCAGGTGCATGGAGGATGTCTTTCATGATCGAAAGGGGTACTTTGGACCTCTTATGTCTGTGATCCCATCTTGCTCCCTTCTGAGATCTTCTACTCGACATTTATTCTTCTCCCTGTTATCTACCCAAGAAAAAACCCATAACTGCTAGCTAGAAAAACATGGGTATAGACACAAAGTCATCCAAATAAATGTTTCTGTAAAATAGGGCCACCGTATATTTTAGTAGAGTTTTTTTTTCCTGTTAAAAGTGAACAAGAATTTATTCTAGCTTTATTTATAACTCTTCATTTCAAAGGCGGAGCCACAGATGTAGTATTCTAAAAGCTAAGACGGTAACTTCATCTAAAATGAAAACAACTTTTTCCTTTTGATT